AGGAACTTTTACTGCACCATTAAATTATAAGGCTCTCTGTTTTTCATTGGTTAATTCAGAAAGCAAAAGGACTTTCCCCTGAGTTGCAATAGTTCATTTCTTACTTTACCTTCCACATCACACCATAAAGATCATTTTAAGTGATTAGATTCGTTAGACTGTGTTTTGCTTGTTTTTTGTCTATGTTGGAGTTCTTGGGTCTGACAGGGAGGCAGGCATTTAGACTTGGCAGCGGTGTGAAACAGGCAAAGTTGAGATATACTCTCAGAAATGCACAAGCAGGATCTTTGTCCTCTTTCTCCCTCGCTGCAGATTGTGAATTCTGGACTTGGCTTCTGCTCTTGTTTCTGTAAATATTTATCAGTTAATAATTATACACATTTTCCAATGCCAACAAACTTGGCTGGAGACATAAATAAGAATGCTCACTTTCCCGAAATATGCAAAATGATGCAAGTCCACTTGAAGTTTTTCGAAACAGTTTTCTCATCTAATTATCAGACTTAAGTCCTCCTCTGTAAACACTCATTTTACTAGGCCTATAAAAAAAGTGATGCTGTTTAGTATGCTCTGTTTCTCCTTTCTTGTTTTCTATTATTTCCCACTTGTTTGACTCTTTCCAGTAAGTTTTTCTAGTGAGTATCTGCTTCTCTTATCATTAAGTCCGGTTACACTGAAGTTAATAGAACTGCTTAATAAAGTCCACTGACTCTGGAACAAGAACCTTGCACACAGAAGAGAATTCCTTTCACCTGCAAAACTTTTAAGAAAAGATGTGATTTGGAGTTTACCGATCAGAACACTAAACCCAGACCCGCATTTTGCAAGCCTTTTATTTTTGTATTTGCAAAGGGCTCTTTATACAAGTTTACTTAAATTGACCTTTCATACTTTAAATGAATGTAGTTTTCACAAACCCGAATCAAAGCAGCAAATACAAATTGTACTAACCTTAGTATATTGAATCTTCAAATTGGTGAGTGGGGCAGGTAAGTCTGGCATGTCTGAGGATGACATTTCTGGTTCAGCTCCCAGAACACAGATGACGGGCAGTTTGATTCTGAGAGAGCACTTGGCTTTATTTGTTCCTTTTTATCTGCAAGGGCTAAAATTTATTTGCATACTGGGATATGATTGGATGAACAAACTCGAAGCAAAAAAAAAAAAAAGAAAAAGAAAGGACACTACTTATTTGTAGCACCTGGGGCAGGAAGCCTCTGTCTTTAAACTTAAATCTCTAAGAAACCAGCTCTTCAGCATTGAAGTTGCATCTGGAGACGCTGCACTATTTGCAGATGAATTAATTTACAAAACTGAAACCTGTGATGAGAGTATGCAGCGCAGCTGCTCTGGCCACTAAGCCAGTTATTATTTTTTTAACTTTTCATACTTTGTATGCTACTATGTAACTTTCTGTTCTCTAATGGATTTAGAGAATCTGAGGATTGAAAAACAGTCTAAAATGACACATGTTCTCAGTAGAAGCTGATGAGGAGAGAACCCTGGCCAGGTGTCTTCAGGACAAGGCTTTCAGGAAAACAGTCCATCTTCCAGAAAAATCAGAGTGCTGTTTGGGAAAGAAAGGCTCTCCATCTAGACTGTAACCTGGGTTAGCTTTAAAATACCATATCAAGTGTATTTTGAGTGCTAGGTAAGTAGACCTACTGTGCTTTCAGAAGCCCTAAATTATTTTTATTTTCTATATGTGAACAGAAAAGTCAGCAGGACTTTTAGGGAACTCAAGAGTTTTCTGTCACACACAGGCACCACGATTAGCAATAGGGAAATATCATCTGTTAAAACTCATCTAAAATGAAAATAACCTTTGGTTTTGGAAGTTATCTGTATTTACCAATATAGGCAGTTGTACAAAGAATAAATTTAAGCAGGACTCCCAATTCAAATTCTTAAGTTAATATTTCAAGCTGGGAACATTCAAACTGGACAATTTTTAATTGTACTACTCTCATTTTAAGTACAATACTTCATTGTAATGTATCTCTAGCAAAAGTCACAGTAGGAACAAGATAGAATACTTTGGATTCTCTGATTATTAAAAACTAACAATAGTTTGGTTCCAGTGAAAATTGCCAGCTCCGCTGAATATGGGATTTAGATCGAGAAACTAAGAATTATTGGATAGTTTGTCCAAATCAGGTGCAGGAGCCTTAGTTTCTCTCTCTTTACTTTCACTTATATATTTCATAGACATAGAGAGGGTGACTGGCTTGCTTATGGTCACAGATCTCATACGTGCAAGGTCGGAATTTCATTTCAGGCCAGTCTGACTCCAAAACCTGGGCTCTTATTCCTGTTGACTCTGCCCTCTTCCCCACAACAGAATTCCCAGGTGGGTTCAAGGATCAACTGCTTCTGTAAGTGCATAGTCATCCTCACAGGCACTTAAGCACGACTTTCTCTTCACCTAAGACAGGGGTTGGCTAACTTTTTCTGCAAAGGAACAGACAATAAATATTTTCTGCTTCCTGAGCCAGATGGTTTTTATTGTAACTTACCTGACTGTGCTTAAAAGAAACTATAGACAAAAGATAAATTAACGGGTGTAGGTGTTTTCCAAAGAAATTTCATTTACAAAAACAAGAGGCATGCCAGATTAGGAGCACAGGCCAACCCCCCAGATGCTAAGGCAATACCCTCCCCAACATCCCTGACTCCCCTCGCCTCGTGCTTGAGAGAAATGTCTCTGTTCCTTCAGCATTTCTCTTTCTCTCTTAATTTCTCTCTTTTTGGAAAATCATTCTTTGCTCTTTCAAAAATGTGTTTTGAGTTAAACGCACAATTACACAACAGCTGTCACATAACTTGCAGGGTGGGGCTCCGGTGATGCCCCGACAGCTGTGTTTTGCTTCTTTCTTGTGCTTCCAGTTTTGCAGTTTTTTATGGATTCAAGCACCGGATTGTTTCATGCGCAGACAGTGAAAGCTCAAGGCTTCATGACACGACTTGCCACGTCATCTCACTCTTTATACATTCAGCTTTGATTGTACTTTATTGCATAATTATGAATAAATTATGAATGTAGGTAAGGGAGCAGCTTTAGAGATAGGTGACCACACCTGCCCATTTAATTTCAACAAATATTTACTTAGTATCATTTATGCACCTGTAATTCTCCAACCTAATCTCCCTTGAAGAGCAGATTTTTTTCTGGCCAGAAACCACAGGACCTGAGATCTACATGTTTGAGGTAAGCGTCACCCTGTGCTGAGAACTTTTCTTGTAGAATAGGATATTACCGGGAACGATTGCATGGGTACAAGGCTTTATCAAACCACTTCTCTCTTTTACGGAGGGAAACTTGGCCTTGGTGAGAACCTGGGGACCAAGGAGGCGCACGTCAGGACTGGACCCATGGTTTTGTATTTTTATTGTTTGCCAGGATTATGCAGCAGAAGAGAGGCAGGTACTTTACCTTGAGGGAAATAGATGAAGGCTGTTTAATCTTTTCCTTCTTAGGGACAAGCTAAATTACAAACACACACACACACACACACACACACGCATAGAGAAAGAGAGAGAAAGCGTGAGACAGAGATAAGAAATATAACAGTTTATTCACTTCTTGAACATGATTTCTCCAAGACCTTTGGGAATGCTGGCAATATACCACGAAACATATGCACTACGACTTCAACCGTTACTGAAACTACTCTCTCATTTTACAATGAGCCTCTCCAGAACTCCATTCAAATCTCAGTCACTGAAAAGATGAAAAGAGCCTAACCTTCCACCCACATAAGTAATTAAAATGAAAAAAAAAATCAAATTTGTTAACAAAAGTTAATTGTGTGGTGCAATAAAAATAGCTGCAATGGGCTGAATGCTTATGTCCCCCCAAGATGCGTATGTTCCAATCCCAGTCCTGCAGTGTGATGCTGTTAGTGGATGTGGGTTTTGGGGAGGTAATTTGGTCAAAAGGGCAGAGTCCTCATGAATGGAATTAGTGCCCTTGTGAAAGAGACCCCAGGGAGGTCTCTTGCTGTGTTTCTCCATGTGAGGAGACAAGAAAAGCAGCAATCTATGACCCCAAAGAGGGCTCTCACCAGAATCTGTCCATGCTGGGACCCTGATCTCAAACTCCAAGCCTCTAGAACTATAAGAAATAAATGCCTGTTTTTTATGTGCCCCCCAGTCTATGGTATTTTTTTTACAGAAGTCTGAATGAACTAATATAGCTTCATTTCATATTTCCTGATTTCAGAATCCTAGATCCATTTATTGAAGCTAAATTTGTCCTGCTCCAGTCATGAGAGCCCTCCCTGACCATCCACTCTTGCCTTCAGCATGGCTGGATGAGTCTGCCTGTTGTTAAATTCAGCTGTGGATCTATCTCTATGCTTTGGATCACTACAATTTTAGCAGATACTGCATCACTCTTATACCTGTTTGGGTTTTAATAATTTGGAAAAAGTGGATCTTGTATGTGGCTAGAGAATCTGTGCTTGGTTGGCACGTTAGTGTTCAAAATGGAAATGGAGAGCAGAATTCGAGTATGTGAACTTGTGTGTTTGTGTGCTAGTTTATGTTCATCTGCCATTCTTCTCCCATTACAAAATTTCCCCACCTCTGATTTCTCCTGCTCCTCATATGTCCTTGCATTGTTTTTCTCTGTCTTGTTTTACTGAGATATGGCAGATGCCCCTCTTATGCAATACAATCAGGAACACTGACTGGTAAGGTCACTAAATGAAACCGTAGATTAAAAGCCTCTGTAAGACAATTATTTTAAACAGATTTTTGCTAAAGCTATGGGTCAAGTCCGTTTCTTGGAACTGGGTCTGCTGCTTGGAATGCGAAATAATCTTGCATAAATAGCGCTCATGTCCTGTTGTCTACAGCTGCCATCCCCAACCCCCAGGCCATGGCCTGGTACCATTCTGTGGCCTGTTAGGAAACCAGCCACACACCACAGCCTGAACTCTGCACTGCCACCTCTTCTCCCCCAGCCCCTAATCTCCTGGTTCATCAAAAAATTGTCTTCAATGAAACCAGTCCCTGGTACCAAAAAGGTTGGAGACCACTGGTCTACAGTTTTCAGTTTGTTTCCTTAAAGTAGAAGGGAAATTAAAGACACTAAAAACATCAATGGGGCAATTTAAATATAGACTATTTTGAGATTTCTACATTTTTTCCCTTTTTTTAACTATTGTTTTATGCACAGATTAACAATGTGTTTAGCAACTTGATAGAGTGTTTGTAAAATATTCAGTTTAGTTTTCATAGAAATAACTTTCCTTATCCCTGATCAATCAATAATTAAAATAACACTTAATTCAATCTTGTAATTGAAATAATAGGTCCAAGTGAATAA